TTTGCATACATTTGTATTCTTTTCAATATGTTGAAAATCTTCAAAACTTGAAAATGTATTTTCTTTACAGGTCCAATCAAATACATTTTTTACTTAGAAAAATGTATTTTATTTTATTTTATTTTTTTTAAGTTTTCTCCATTTAATGAATGTGGAAAATTTTTCAGAGACTACATAGAACAAATATAGGAGTATTTAGATGTAATTACTTTGTGTTTTATTACAAATGCTCTCTTTAAGGCAACTGTGAGAAGTGGAATGGAACTCTCTTTATATTGTAACACTGAAGGGGTCATGTCATTGAACACTGAATGTTTTAATCTAAGATAGCTAATTGAAACTTGGACCTAATCTTTTCTACAGAGAGAGTGAAGTTAGAAACTGGGAAAACCTCTGCCCAGGTATATTTTGCTTTTCAAGAGACTTCATTAAATAAATGCACCTTTTGCATCTGAATTAACAATTAGGTTTGAAATGTGACTGAACAATGCAAACTCCTGCAGGAAATGAAGAAATAATAAATACTTATATAATTGTTGGGGGTAGTTACTTCCCTTATCTAGGTAAATAGCGATTATTTATTTATTTATATATTCATTTACTTGCTTGTTTGCTTGTTTGTTTAGATTAAACAGAGACAACAGCAACTAATTAAATATTTGCTTTTGAACATATCCCTTGGGTTTTATCCACAGTTTCTACAGTATATAGTGCTCTGATGCACTGTGTACAAAAAATAATTAATAGATTGAAAAGTATTCTGCAATAACTGTGCATTTTCCAAGCGGAAATATCCGAGAGATTACAACTCACTTGTAACTTTCCAGAAAAGAGAAGACATTATGTGTGTGATCTTTATTGATACTACTTATAGTGATTCGTAAGAGATGACTAAATATGAGTTTGTTTTATTAAAACAATGGTCAACAACTGGCTGTACAGTCTACCTAGAAAAACTGAGAATTGAAATAAAATTAAATATGATGGTATCCTACACAGATTTTGACTCCAGATATTACAGACATTATTTTCTAAAGTTTCTAAAGCCATAGCAATAAAGATAGGTTTAATTAATTCCATTCTCCTTCCTCTTTTAGGATAACTTTATGTGATAACTCTTAACAATACAAACATTTCATTTATATGTTTGATCCTAGTCCAAGAGAACCCAACATCCTTCCTATGATGTTTTTATTTAAATAATAATAATAATAAATAAATAAATTGTTTTTAAAAGTTTCTTATTTATAGTTTAAGGACAATCAAAGAAATAATCTGTCTTCATTGCCTTTTTTAAAATTTCAATTATTTAAAAAACAAAAACTAACAAACAAAACCTCAAAACCTGCAGTAACCTTTGCAAACAATATTATTTCTTTAGACCAGATAAATGCTATAAAAGGGCAGCAAATGTATAAGATGTTTATTTCTTCATCTGCAGTTAAATAAGATAAAAATTCTTTGTCTCGTCCTTTCTCTCTGTAACCTTATGGTGTAAGATAGAGCAATGATCTCCCACTGCTTGCATCCTCATTAAGCTCACTAGTCGTTATATACAACTACTTATCTTACGTAAAACTAAAAGTTAGATTCATTATGAGATAATTTCTTGATTCGTATTCACGTGCACACTGGGTTCAAGATCTTGGGTTGCCAGTGTTTCTGCACAGGAGTTCGAGTGCAATCTCCACATTCAAAGTGATTCAAGGCGTACAGAGCTTTTGCTAGGATCTCAGCCTGTCTGGCAACAGGGATCCTGTTCCTATATCCCTCCCCCTCTCCAAGGACGCGTATTTTGTCCTTGAGGAGGTGGTTGGCATGCTCTCTGATTGCTTGCCCCTGAGAGTTGCCAGGGATGCCTGTGATATGGGATATGCCCCATAGTGCTAGCCACTCTTGGGTTGAGCATGAGATGAAACAGGACCTATTATCAGTCTTAATCTGCCTAGGTAAGCCCATTACAGCAATTGCAGCAGCCCAATGGTATTGTGCAGTGGACGGGTTAGACTTGGCATGCTGCGTGGCTATGATGACAGTAGAAGAAGTATCTACCGTAACACGAGCCAGGGGCAAGGAGACAGACATGGCTCCCATGTAAAATCTGTCTGCCAAATTTGTAGCGGTCTAAGACCACAAGGATTTACCCCAGCTCTTATCACTGGTGCCGAATTACAGTGGGGACATGCCTGGACAACATCACATGCTACAGATAAAGGAATAGAGCACATCCTGGCCAGTGCACAAGCACCTATGAAGAGTAGCATGAAGGTCACGGGCTTCTCTAACTGTGAAACAAGTGTACAGGTAGCTTTGTCCGCCACAGCATTCCCTGTTGTAAAGAAACCTGGTATCTCAGAATGGCTGTGGACATGCGGGATGGCCACAGGGGCCAAACGAGAAGCCAGGGCCTCTTCCAGAAGGCCGGCGGCCTCAGAGCTTGGATGTCCTTCTTGGCCCATACAAGCAAGTAGTTTAGCTGTAAAGGCAGAATTAGTGACAGTGTTACATGAAATCTCACGCCAGAGGCAAAGCACAATCGCCACAGCCATTACCTTGAGCATCTACACACTAGCTCCTCGATTAGTAAATACAGCAATTCCCCAACTGTTATCCGTGTCCTGCCAAACCACAGCCCCCTGACCAGTAGTTGAAGAAGCATCTCTAAACAGAGTGGGTCCGTCAAGCGAAGTCAGGCAGTCAGACACGAGATCGAAGAGAGATCCCTAGAGGCCTGGCTAGAACAAAAATAGGAAGTGAGTCAGAGTACTCAATACTCCCTCTGAAGCCCTGTAAAGCTGTTAGAAGGGCCTCAGGGAATGGTTGCACGTCACAAAACGAGCTCTGCAGATACATCACATCAGGCTCTCAAGCTAGGGCCTGCAACAATAGCAGTCAGGATTTTCTGAGTAGCATTGCTAAAATCTCGAGCCACGAGGTATAAGCTCGCGTAGGCTGCACTGAGAACAGTTACCACAGAGGTTGTGGCTTAGCATCAAGAGTATGGCCCAAAATAGAGGCCGCACCAGCCTCGCCTCGAGTCACTGTTATTTCAAGATCTGAGTCAGGGTTGTACCAAGCGAGCGTATTCTTCATGCATCTATGAAGGATCTCTTGCCAAGCTGCAGCCATTTCATTGGTCAAGTCCCTATGTTCCTTTGGGTCCGGGCCCCTTAGCTGATCATAAAAGTGCTTCAGTCGAGGGGGTATTCCCAGGGCACTGCGAACCCACTGAAGGGCTTCTACCAGTTTCTGTACATCCCATAGGGTCTTAACGTGTGGTTGAATGATAAGACCCATTGGCTGGACCATCTCTGGGCCGAACTTATACCCCAGGTATTCCACTCCCGAGCCCCTATAGGAGATTATTCCTTTTACATCATCTTCTCAAAGCTTGCTGAGGACACGAATGAACAAGTTCAGGCAAGTCCTGGGCAGGGGTTGAGAAATCCTTTGTCTGGAGAGCTTTGATGGACAAGTCCTGAGCAAGGGTTGCAAAATCCTTTGTCTGAGGGACACAGATGGACAAGGCCAGGGGCAACAAGAGAGAGATAAGCTGCACCTTAATGGCCTTGAAGTGGTCTTTTGTGTGGGCTTATCTTGAGGAAGATGGCCATCTCAGGGGGTACTCACATGACTCTTGCTCAAGCACTCAGGGATGTCACATAGGCAGAAAGAAAAGAAGGATAAAATGGGGACCTACAATCAAGAAGAGAGGTTTTCTGGCAACAGATTCCTCATGAAGAAGAAAGCAGGGTTTTCTGCCAACAGATTCCTCATGAACAACCAGAGGTTTTCTGGCAACAGATTCCTCATGAAAAAGAAGAAAGGTTTCTGCCATGAAGAAGCCTCATGACCTGCCTCTCTCCCTACCGAACTTGCTCTGCACTCTCTCCCTCCTGGACTTGCTCTGCGCTCTACCACGATGCTGAAGAAGAACAAAGGTGTCTGCCATCAGATTCCTCACTACAGAATGCCTCTCCTGGGCCTGCTACCTGAGTTCTGCTGCTTCCCCCCCTGTATTGGCTCTGCAACTGCCTCCTGCTACTTGCTTGCTGCCCAAGGCCGGCCACGCTGCTGCTCTCCCCCCCTCCTGCTTCTGCTTTGGACCTTCAAAACGGCGTGCAACGGGACCGCTCCTGGATCCTGGTGGTGACTATCCCCGCTTTACAGCATTCTTGCTTCTTTCCTATCTTTTCTATCGCCCTCCTTCCCTTACCCGTCTCTCTAAATAGGATTTATAATAAACTGGTTGGACTAACATATGAACCATTGTTTCTTAATCTCACACCGAGTATACAGATATTAAAAGAACCTCCTCTCCCTCCTATAAATTGGAGCAAGACACCCCTCTGTATCTTTTGCTCTGAAATGGTGAAACCGGTGGCAGTAATCATAGTCATCACTTGTGACCCAAGCATTTGCAGCCCTAACTCAGTAGGGGCGGCGAGCAAGAGGTCATCCATATAATGTGAGATCAGATACTGAGGAAAATCTCTTCACTATCACTAGCTGACAAATAGTGGGAGAGCATGTCATCCCTTGCGGAAGGACACCCCGCTGAAATCTCTCAGGGGAGCCCAGGTTATTGAGCGTTGATACCGTGAAAGCGAATGCTTCCCGATCCTCTTCCACAAGAGGAATAGAGAAGAAACAATCTTTAAGATCAATGACCACTAATGGCCATCCTCGGGGCATGGCTGACAATACTGGCCCGCCTTGCTGCACTGCTCCAAAAGGCACGAGTTGAGCATTGACTGCGCGTAAATCATGCAGCAGACAGAAGGCACCAGAGTGTTTCTTTATGACAAAGATCGGAGTATTCCACTGGCTGAGAGAGGGCTCTATGTGCCCTAACTGAAGTTCTTGTGAGACTAATTGCGCGAGTGCTTTAAGTTTGTCATGAGAAAGGAGCCACTGATCTACCCAAATGGGGCGTGCATCCCGTTTCCATTGCAAGGGTATTGTGTATGCAGAAGATAGCTGGCAAACAGTGGCCCTTATTATAAATTTGTGATACGTGCACCCACCCTATTCAGAAAGTCCCGCCCTAACAACGTGCCCAGGATTTTAGCAATTAGCGGGACAAGCAGAGCGGGTCTCTCCAATGAGCCGTCCCTGTTAACTAAAATGATCTCTACTTCTCCTAGGCACCTTGTAGCAGAAATAGACCCCCTGACTCCTCTGACAACTTGAGTCGGGCCCACCGGCCATTCCTCGGGCCAGACTCTGTCAGAAATCATCGTAACATCTGCCTCTGAGTCAAGAAGGTCTGTGACCATGATGGAATGGCGGCCTGAGAATTCAGGCAGCAGGTTAATGTGCGACATGAAAATCCTGACCAGTGGGTGGTTCTGGCAGTCTAGGATTAATGCCATGGTGGGCGTTTTATAAATTTCATGGGCAGGGCTGGTAGAACTGGTGGGTTGGGTAAAGACGTCTGCTGTACTGGCCCATTCTGACAGTTGTGGGAGGGGCCCTGGGCCTGAGGAACTCTCCCCTTGTTGTTTCCCTGCTGCCACATTTTCAAGCACCTACATTGTGGAGCATTATGTCCCTCTCTTTCACACAGTTGACAGATGACACTGTCCCTTTCCCCATCCTTAATGTATTTACACTGGGCCTTAATGTGGCCGTACTGCCCACACCGGAAGCAGGGACCCTTAGATGATGTTGAAGCCCCAGCCATTGCGTCAGCAAGAGCGGCTGCCTGGCCCTCATTAGTCAAGGGAGTAGATTTCTGTTTGTTTAGTACATATTTAACGATCTCTCCCGGTGTGGTGATCTCCCCAGGGGCCATACGAAGCAGATTTTTAATATCCTCAAGGGACCTTTGCTTAAGGCAGTCCACAATTACAGGGCCATGAACAGCTCTGGGTAAGTCTGACCCCTCAGCCGCCTTAATTAACCTATCGGCAAAGTCTTGGAATGATTCAGTCGGGCTTGGATTATTTCCATCCATGGTGTGGATGGTTCTGTGTGGCGGGCAAACCTCCCGAAGGCCCCTCACGCCGCATCAGTAGTTACTATTAATTCCCCTGGGCGCAACAGAGCTAACAGAGCACATGGGGTAACCATGCCTGGTGCTGATCCTGTAAGCCTCAGTATGTCCGTGCCATCCACGGGGTGACCTGGTTCGTTTTGTGCAGCTGTTACTACCCGCCTGTGTTCAATCAGCCATTCCTCTTTCCAAAGTATATATTGTACAGGTTTGAGTGCTATGTGCATGAGGTTCTCGATATCATAGGGGAGCATAGGGCCCCGTTCAGTTAGGGCCTCTAATGCGTTCAATGTTAGAGGTGATTTCAACCCCTTCTTCTCTATCACTGCTATTAACTGAGTAATTCCCTTTGGGTCTAATGGAACCCATTCTGGTCTTTCCTCCCCTGCTACTACAGGGAATACAGTAACCAAGCCCCTATCTTGCAGCTCTTCTCTAACTTTTTGCCAGTCAGTGACACACCTACTTCCCGCCCCACCAGGGGTGTCACCTTGCATACTATTCGGCCCCCGCCTATTCTCTGCCCCTTGATGAAGAGCCCACCATCCCTGGTCCGCACCACCCCCGACTCTACCTCTGTCTCTGCCTTTGTCTCCGCCTTTGTAGGCATGCTGAAATTTCACAGGGAAGAATACAGAGACTGCCGAGGATATGGAGGAGGGGACTCAAGGTCTTGCGATAAGGTGCCGCCACTTGATAAGGGGGTCGATGGCTGCTGGTCCGTTGGTAACTGTGCAGGTGTGGTCAGATCATCCGGCGCCATCTTGGCCTCAGGGCATCTGGAAGAGAGACTATTCCCTGGCCGACAAGCCTTACCCCCGACCAAGGAAGAGCCTCCCCCCCTCCCGGGTCTATCGAGTTAGCCGTGCTGCTGGGAGAGCCCTCCCCCAGGGCTACTGAGTCAAAACCCAAGAGTTGCTGGGCTTGTATCAGCACCTTCCCCTCCTCCCTTGCTGCTTTCAGCGCCTCGAGTATTAATCCCCAGGTTTTTAGCTCTGAGCCATCTTTTCAGGCGCTCATGATATGTCGTGTGAGCATGAAGGTAAGATCATCCCACCTCCTGTGATCGAGAATCTCTTGGGGTGCTTTAATCGCCCCCTCTCGGTCCAGCTGGGCTATAACAGCGTGAACATCCTTCTTAGAAGGAGCATACTTCCCGCAATAATCCTTACAAAATTGAAGCAATAACTTAATAACCTTTTCCACAGTAAAAGTCCCCCGCAAGCGTCCTGCCGTCACCTCAGGTTCCCGCACCACTGCAAGTTGAGCACCCCATTGTCACCCAGGGTTTCCGCGCTATTACAAGCTGAGTGCACCATCATCACCACTGTATAGTACTCTTGCAAAGGGTAAAAAGACACAGCGCTCCTCACACGGGGCACCAATTGTTGCTGCACATATTAAGATCATGCTGTATCACCCTCTGCTTAACTGATCAGCTCCCCTGATCAGGACCAAGAACTGCCGGCATACACCAATTTGGTGAACAGAAAAATGGCATTTATTACAGCGTGGCATCTGTTTAAATACATTCATCTTCTACTTCGTCTACACCCCTTAAGCATGCATTGTCCAATCACTGAGCTGGGGGGGTCTTATCGTGTCACATCCCATAGCCTCGGCGCCTAATAGAACAGTTCAAGCATGACACACAGCATTAGGGGAGATCTAGAAATGGTATAAGAAATTAACCGTACTGCCAATTTCACCAAAGCAAAGTGACAAACACCTTTGAGAATGAAGAAGAAATCCACCTTCCTTGTTCAAGGTGTATTATGAGGGAAATAATCTGCTGCATTGTAACAACTAAGTTAGGCAGAAGACATTGCTGTTTCTGGTCTCATTCTATAACAGCAGTAGTATGTGCAGATGATTGGGTTGAACTGAAAATTCACTTATTTAGAAGGATGTCATCATGTTTTGGAAAGTTAAAATACCAAAACACTTTTTAAAATTTATCATTGTTATATGTTCCTCCTCAACTTGTATTTCCTATGTTTGGTTTCAGACCAGTAATGATTATTTGTGTGAAAAGTCTGAACTGAATCGGTTCAGCCAGTTCTGAGTTATGTATGTAAGAAAGAAATACAATGATTTTTCCATAAGTTCCATTTGGCAATATTGTGATTGACTAACTCCAAATAGCTGAAACTGGAAACATCACACTTAGCTAGACCATGACACTCATTGGGAAAGGATAGGAAATGAAGCCTCAAAAGAAAAAAGATTTAAAGTTATGAGTATTTACATGTGGCATATTAATGCATACAAAGAGTCAATTTTTCATTCTGTTAATCCTCAGGCTAGCAAACACCATTTAATGTACTGGGTGTACGTTGAGTCATTTGGGATTAAAACTGACTAAGTGTGCAAAGTTTAAAGCTGATAAATAACCAGGTTTTCAAGATTTTTATGCAAAAAGAGTTTTTCTTACATGTTTTGGGGACAAGCTTGTCCTTCCTGGGAATAAATGAGGAACTCTTATTCATTAAAATTGTTGTTCATGTTCAAAATTTTGTGAATTTACCCTAAATAGTGTGAACTATAGTTACACTTAGGGGAGTCAGCAGGATAACAATGAATCTTACATTAAGTGTATTTAGTAACGGGCTATTCTAATTTAAAATCGTATTTTGACTGTCTAAGCACATGAGCCGTCATAGGACAAGAGGGAATGGCCTCAAGTTGCACCAGGGAAAGTCCAGGTTGAGTATTAGGAAAAAAATCTTCTCCAAAAGAGTGTTCAGGTTCTGGAACGGGCTGCTGGAGAAATAGAGTCACTGTCCCTGGAGGTGTTCAAGAAACATGTGGATGTGGTACTATGGAACATGGTTTAGTGAGCAAAATTGGTGGTAGATGGACGGTTGGACTAGATGATCTTAGAGGTCTTTTCCAATCTTAATCATTCTATGACTTCATATGGAAATACTTATTTAGATGTAACTTCATATAGCTTAAGTTCACCATAAACACATAAAGGCACTGGTATCTTTCTTTTACCCTCCCAAATATGTAGAAAGTCAAGAAACTTCCAGGAGGTTTAAGAGAAACAAGAGGTTTTTGTTTTTGTTGTTGTTTTTGTTTGTTTGTTTTGTTTTGTTTGTTTTTTTGTTTTGTAAAATTTGCTGTTGATATTTTTATACCCAAAATTTAGGTAGTTAAATCTTTAAGAGAAGTTTAAAAGAATATTTAATCCCCTCCCTTGATAGAATCTGAAATAAGATGGATGTATTCCTTGGAAAATTTCTCCATGGTTGTGTGATTTTTGGCTACCTACTGGTGTTACCCTCAACTTTTTTTTTTGGTCTTTTGAAAATTTATTTCAGAACTGGAAATGTCCCACCTCGTGGTAGCCATGAACTACTGATGATTCCTCTTCAATCTTTGATATTAATCATTTTACCTCTTCTTAACCCTTTGTGTCTTTGCTTCATGCTCGGAGGTAAACTAAATTCACATGAACCTTAATTTTCATGCAACATTCTCAGCCCTTGCATATCACCTAGTTATTAAAAGAACAGTCCTAAACTTGTTTTCCAGTAATACACTGCTTGTGTTAAACAGAATCATTGGATTATGGCATGTCTTGAATTGGAAGGGACTCATAAGGATCACTGAGTCCAACACCTGCCTCTACACAGGACCAACCAAAAATTAGACCATAAGATCAGGAGTGTTGTCAAGATCTTTTTTTTTATTTTTTTTTTTTTTTCCTCTCTCTGTCAAGTTCAGTGCCACACCCACTTCCCTGAGGAAGCTGTTCCAGTAACATAAACACCCTCTCAGTGACGGACCGTTTCCTGATATCCAACCTGAAAACTCCCAGTGGATTTTATTTGTTGGTTTGTTTTTTTTTTAAACATTGCTAAGAGATTGAATATTATAAAATTCAAAGCACATCATACAACAGAAGAATTAGCCTCAGGGCTACTCAAGTGTAATAAATTTCCCTTAGGCTCTGTCCATTAAGCCAGTTCCTTAAATGATTCTTCCACAGGTGCTAAAGTTGGGCATGTCCCTGACAGCACTGCTGATTTCATCCACAGACAAAGTTGGTAATTTCCTAAGCCAGAACATTACTGATGGGAATAATGCAGTTATGGTTGTATTCTGCTTTATTGGTGCTATGAAGGTCTGCAGTTTTTGCAGCTGAGGGAGGAAGGGTGTGAAGGGCACTACTACTTCAGAGAACAGACAATTTCAGGCAACAATTGTCTATCTTTCACCAGGGAATCTTCCTTGTTCAGGAATGACTTTCCACCCTTCCAATGGTAGCAGAAACTGACTCTCTGGGCTTAGTTCCCTTTTTTCTTTCAGATGTTTACCACTTTCCTTTCTTCTTTCCCTTTCAGTCATAGAAACATCCCAACCCTACTCATTGACTTCAGAGGCAAAGTTCATTTTTCTCCACACTGCCAAGAGCTACGATGCTTGCTCTGGTTCACATTCAGTGTCTTGCACAATAATTCTAGGGAATGATTAAGAGTATTTCATCCAGGCTGGATTTCTGATTTCTTTTCTCCCTATCAAGTTTCAACTACTTAAAATAGAAATATTTAAGAAAGGAAAGAGAATAAATTTTGATGGTACCAACTGTTAAGCAATTTAAGTTGTAGCTGTACTAACCTTAGAGTAAATGAACCCTGGTCTGGGAGCTGCATGATCAAATGCAGTTACAGAATAATTTAGTCCAGTAGAATATTTCAGTAATGAAATAAAAATTCATTCTGGGCACATTTAAAGCTCTCACTTGTCACTTGCTCCTGAGAGTTAGGTTTTCTACAGATATGTAAGTTCCTGGACAAACTTTGAATAAATTGTTCAAGTTCGTATCCCTAGCTGAGATTGTCAGCTGATTATTCCCAACCTTATAATATCTTACAAGTGCAACAGAGTATGAGTTTTGAGAAACTTGTATAGATAACTAGCATATAAAAACTGAGACAAATGATAATATTTGAGGGGTGTAGCTTATAAACTTCTAAGCCAATGGCTATTGCCTTCTCATACTGTTCTTATTACAAAACTGTTTTTAAATGATTCATAACACAGAAGAGGATCAGAGGCCACAACAATGACCCCTTGATATCTTTGATTTTATAACCAATATAACAATTGAAAAAGGGATTTAGTATTAGAAATCATATATTGTATTTGAAGATTAACCTATGGTCAAGTGGAAACCATAGGTGAGTTATTTTATTGAAATGTGTCACAACTATCTCACCAATAAACTGGACATAATGACACTTAATCTATTTAAATAATATATCATGAAAAAATGTACAGGTAGTTAACAATAAGACAGTGTTGTAGTTGAAAAAAAAAAAAAAAAAAAAAGAAAGGGGGACTGGTCCTCTTTAATATCTTTATCAACGACATCAATGACAGAATCGAGTGCACCCTCAGCAAGTTTGCTGACAACACCAAGTTGAGTGGTGCGGTCAACACAGTTGAAGGAAGGGATGCCATTCAGAGAGACCTCAAGAGGCTAGAA